TTCAGAGAGGAAGGGAGAGGAAGAGAAACATTAATGATGAGAATCATTGATTGGCAGCCTTCTGCACACCACCTAATGGGGATCAAGCCCGCAACCCAGCATGTGCCCTTGACTGGAATCGAACTGGATCCTTCAGTCCACAGGCCAATGCTCTACCCACTGAGCCAAACCATCTAGGGCTAGAAAGACCCTTTGGAATCTTGAAAGAACTATTCTCAAACAGATTTCTAGCATATGTTTTATATGTCCTATTGGAGTTCTTGAACAGCAGCATCCAAAAAGGCAATTCTATAGTAAAAGAGATACTTGTGAGATTGTGGTTTATAATAATATGTATATTTGGTCTACACACACACACACACACCTTTCTGGCAGAGTTCCTAAAACACTTGAACAAAGATGTCTCTCATTATGTTAATGAGATGATTTTTGGAACACCAACATGAATTACAACTAATCTGAATCTGTTTTAGGAAGAGCTTAAATTACTATAGAGCCTACCCTGAATTAAATACAAAATACCCTGGCCTGGAGAGAAACAGCAAGACAGTTTGTCTCCATGTCTGAAAAACCTCAAGCTAAGCTCTGGAGCAATAGCAAATCTTGTTAAATGGCAGGAGTGCCATTTGGATAAGCACTCTGATTTTTTAAATAGAAAGAAGAGCCAAATTAAACTGCTCATCAGTATCAGCCAAGGGAGCTAATTGAGAACAGAGTCCTGAAGTGTTGACCATCAACTATTACTGGGAAATGGCTTGGGATGACCAATGAAAGGGAACAGTGGCACAGGTTATGAAAATAATAGGGCAAGATTACAATAAACTAAAGAAGAGAAATCAACTTTTCAAGAAATGCTGTATCATTTACATGCCCCATTACTAATAGTTGCCTACTATAGAATTTTAAGGTTACATGCCATATATTGCTACATAGAGAACATGATTATATGTAACCATCATCAATGTACATATATGTGTGTGTGTGTGTTGAACCCTTGGAATTATCAACATTTAAGGAACTAGCAAAGAGGAACCAATTGAAAAGAGTGCGATAGAACTAGAAAAGATGGAAGCCAAGAAAGAGTTCCAAGAAAGGAATACTCAACAAGGCCCAAAGCAGCAGAGTTCAGAGAGAAGTACTAAGAAGTGCCCAATAAATTTGGCAACCAGAGTCTCTAGTGACCTTGACAAGAACAATTTCAGTAGATTGTTAAAGGCAAAAGCTGGTTTACAGTAGGTTAAGGAAAGAAAGGGAAGTATGGAAAACATTCCATCCATTCATTTATTTATTCTAATGCATACTGAGTGGCTACTGGGTATACACTGACAGTTGGTTCCAAAGGGAAGAATAGAAAGAGAACAAGGTGAGGCTTTAAAATTTGTCCCAAGTACTTAGAGCTCTATTGGCCTAGGAATCATTGAGGGTCTGATTCACTCCTATATGCTTTATGTATATGATATCATACAAACTGTTGAAAACTATGAACAGAAGGTGAGTAAAGTGATAAATATTTAGTACAGTACAAGCCTTAGGTAAATATCTTCATGTGGTACAAGCGATCTGCCTACTAGGGATAATTTCTTCTTCACTCACGATCACCCATTCGCTGTAGTCGAAGCTTGTGGTCCTGAGGTCATTTGGACATTTCTGCAGGATCAAATGGTAGCTTCTCAAAATGAAAGTCCCTCCACTTTGCATACAGTCTCTGCTCTCCAGTTGCAATATCCTCCACCACAAAACTTTCAATTTTTATGATTGGGATCTCAAATGTCTTATACTTCACATGGATGCCCCAGTCATGGCTGCAGTTCTGTCTGGCACAGAATACCTTTGCTTTCTTCTCAAAAATCCCCACACTCTTTGGTCTGGGGTGTGCCTTAGTCATGAAGCGCTCCTTGAAAGCATCTCCAACCACAGTGTAATGGCATTCCTATGGATAAAGGGATCAAACATAAAAAAAAAAAAAGAACATTAGAACCAGTTCACAGTGATAGCAGTTCGCTGCTATTATTTCACATTGATAATTATAGCACATTTGCAATTTTGTATCCTGATTATTTTTCTGCTTTACCATTAGTTTATAAGGAGTTTTTCATTATTCTATACTAGGGGCCCGGTGCACAAAAATTTGTGCAC